AAGCAGTTGGGCCCAGGCTTTCGGGTTGTTGGGGTTCAGGTTTAGGGTTTAGGGTTTAGGGTTTAGGGGTTTAGGGTTTAGGGTTTAGGGTTTAGGGTTTAGGGTTTAGGGTTTAGGGTTTAGTCTGGGCCTTTATGGTCTAACGGACCCGGCTTAGGGGAAACCCCAAGGCCCTAAACCCAAAACCCTATCTGGTTTAGGGGTTTAGGGTTTAGGGTTTAGGGGTTTAGGGTTTAGGGTTTAGGGTTTAGGGGTTTAGGGTTTAGGGACTCCAGAAAGCGCCAAAAGACGACGGGCCATGAAAGTACCAGAGCTGGTTGTTACCTGAATCCGAGGGACGCTGAGTTTAGGGCTTACGGGTTCGCGGCGGCGCTGCCTTGAGCAGGGTTTTCTGGATTTTGGTGCGTCAGCCCACTTCATCCGAAGCCCAGGCCCCAAACACCAAACGTTCCCTAAACCCTAGATCCCCGAAAAAGCTGGTCCGTGGGGACGCTCAGATGCACCAAAATCTCAAAGCCAAAAAACACGCTGATGCCCTTCCTAATGTAGGGCCTTATAGCAACCAAAATCCTATTCTGATCATTAAGGCCCCTATATGAAGCCTGCGTACGCCCCGGAGCCCTGAACCATAAAACCCTCAAAACCCATCGGAACCCTGAAGCTTTAAACCCCCCTAAACCCTAAACCCTAAACCCTAAACCCTAAACCCTAAAACCCTAAACCCCGAACCCTAAACCCTAAACCGCCCCAAAACCCCCCAAAAAACCGATCCTTGAAACCCTGAAACACCCCGGACTCCTTGCATAGACGTTTTGCTGCGGTGTTCGTTCTGTCTTCAGGCTTTAGGAGTTTAGGGTTTAGGGTTTAGGGTTTAGGGTTTAGGGTTTGGGGTTTGGGGTTTGGGGTTTAGGGTTTAGGAGTTTAGGGTTCAAGAGAATGTCGAGTTTGGACGGAACGCCGGGCTCGCTGTTAGGGGCCAGGGTCCAGGGTTCACTGTTTGTTACACGTCGTATACCGGGAATTTGTTTAGGGTTTTCTGCGAACCCGACGAATTCGACCATTACTTGATCTTAAGTACGCATGAGGCTCCTAAAGGTACGACCGTCTGCGCAACCTTGTAGAACCCCGATGGAACCGCTAAAGCCCTTCAGAACCCGTTCTGAACTCTTAGAACACTTATCAAACCCCTTCCAGTGTTTACCCAGACCCTTCCACCTAACCCCAAACCCTAAACCTTGAGCTGTACGCTTATGGAACCCTCATCTACCAAGCTCAAAGGCTGGCCGCAATGTGATAGATTTGGGAGGCACTCAGGGGCCCTAGGGTCCAGGCTTCGGCTTAGGGTTTACAGTTTGGAGTTTAAGGTTTTCGGGATAGTGTTTAGGGTTTAGGGTTTAAGGTTTTCGGGATAGTGTTTAGGTTGGAGCTTGCATCTTGAACCTCAAAACCACCCACCTAGGGCAAACACGTCCAGGTTTGCAAGCTGCTGCCAGGAGCAAAAAGACAGTGGTTGTGTACCAGTGAGGTACTTCCTTCTGGTAGTGGAAGATTTTTGGTACATTGCTAGTAGCAAGCCGAATCGTTGGTAAACCCATGACCCGCTAACCCTGGACCCTGCCTCCGTGGCAGGGATGCATGAGGACGTTGTTGCTGTCGCCATTCCAATCGAGACCTGTTTTCCAAACTAGTTTCAGAATGGGAAGCAGGCAAGGCTCCTGCTCCTAATTTTAGATTTGCAACCACGCGCTCCCGTGCTATTTCTACAGGCTGCAATAACCCTTGCTCTTGCTCACTTGATTATTTCAAGCTCCTGTGCAAGACTCGATCTTATTACGTTTCCTGGCTGCCTTCTCTCTCAGCTATGTTTCATAACTGAATTTTGCACTGCCACATATACTCCTTCATGCTTCCATTTCTGGCTGTTGCTCTGTGCTACTTGGCACGAAACTGTACCATGCTCTTGAAGCTCAACGCACTTTTAGCAGTAAACATGCTCACGCATCCTCTCACTCGTCCTGGGCTGGATTGCCCGAGCATGGGCTCCTAAGCAGCCCTGTTTGCCCACCTCCCCTGCAACCCAACAGAATTGTTTAAGCCGCCAGATTGCACAGAGAACTGTCGGCTTGGATCTTCATCCTCAGATGTCATCAAAGCTACAGCTAAAAGCCCTAAGCCCTAAACCCTAGACCCGAAACCCTAAACCCTAAACCCTAAGCCCCAAACCCTAAACTCTAAACCCTAGACCCTAAACGCTTTACGAGGCTTGGAGCTTCGCAGTTAAGCTTGCATGTGGCTGTGCTTCAAGATCTAAGCCTATAAGCTTTATGAACTGAAGGACGATGAGTCTCGCGTTTCGTGTGGCTTCGAAGATGTGTCACCGTTTCTTCTACAATACTTAGGGTTTAGGGTTTAGGGTTTAGGGTTTAGGGTTTAGGCTTTAGGGAGCACCAGTAATTTTCCTGGGGCCTTTTCGCCTGAGCGCGAGGAATTCAAGAGACGGGAATCCTGGAGCAGGTCTTTCTGCGATCGAGAGTTTAGGGTTCAGGGGTTTAGGGTTTAGGGGTTTAGGGTTTAGGGGTTTAGGGTTTAGGGGTTTAGGGTTTAGGGTTTGGGGTTTAGGGAAGGTAAAAGCCAGTCCACCAATAGGACTGAAAAGCGCTGAGCTTTACCCCTAAACTGCCCTGAGCCCTGCACCCGCGGCTCCAAGTTTCCGCGAAATCACAAAGAGCCCTCCCTAAATCCTGAAAGTCCTCAAATCCTGCAAAGCCCTAAACCCGAAGCCCTGAACCCCTAAACCCCAGAGGCTGAACCCACGGCCCTTCACCAAAAGACCACAACAAATCCTCTTCGTCTGAACGACCTCGTGCTTAAAAAGTTTGGGGTGTAGGGTTTAGGGTTTAGGGTTTTAGGGTTTAGGGTTTAGGGTGTAAGGATTGCATACAGTTATTACTACCAGTAGAGGTTTTATATGGTCTTGTGGGGTTTAGTATGGCTCACTCCGTGCACACAGTGTCCCGAGAACCTCTGCAGCTTGCTGCAATCGTTCCCGTGAGAAACATTTGGGTTTAGGATAGTAGCTATGTAGGTCAGCATTTGGGAAAGTATACGATTCTTAGGTACTTGGCCGTGTAGGGTTCAGTGCAGAGCCAACCCAAAACCCTGAACCCTAAACCCCCTAATCCCTAAACCCTACACCCCAAGCCCCTAAACCGTAAACCCTAAACCCTAAACCCCATAATCCCTAAACCCTACACCCCAAACCCCTAAACCGTAAACCCTGAACCCTAAACCCTAAACCCTAAACCCTAAACCGTTTTAAGCCCAACCCTCAACCAAGCTCTGAAGAGGCGAGTTTCTCTCGGGGAACTTCGAAGTTGAACTGCTGGTTAGCCCCGTCGTGGCACGAGTGCATGTAGACATCCTTTTGGGGTTTAGGGTTTAGGGTTTAGGGTTTAGGGTAGGAGTCCGGGGTCCTGGCATTGCGCATTCGAGTTTTTGCGTCGAAGGTTTGAGGGTTAGCCTTAAAGCGTAAACCGTCTAGGGTTCAGTGGAGTTTCGCAGCACTGAAGCGAGCCGCAACTAAAAGTTAGCCTTTGGGATTACCCAGAGAACCCAATACCCCTTAACTACGGAATATACCTTAAGTTATAGGGGCCTTAATATTATGCTTTAAGGTATCCGCAATAATGCAAAACGTATCTGCTTTCGGGTTTGTGTGGGCTCTGTTTCTTGTCGAAGTTTGAACAAACAGAACTGGAACAGTTGGGAGTCCCCAAGCTCTTGTCCAGAAACTGCAGATGTTAATATAGGGGCCTCAATAATTGAATAGGGTTTAGGGTTTAGGGTTTAGGGTTTAGGGTTTAGGGGCCTTAATAATTTAATAGGGTTGTGGGCTCCTTTATAGTATAATTACTATGAGGAACCCCCGAAAGAATACAGGTAGTTCTTGAAGCCCCTATATTAGGCAGAAGCCTGGTGCAAAGCCTCGAACTTAACTCTTTGCCGAGCGCTCGCAAGAGACCGAGCTGGGGCGCCTATGGAGTCATTCCAGGGACTTCGGGGCCCGCAACCTCTAGGGTTTAGGGTTTAGGGTTTAGGGTTTAGGGTTTAGGGTTTAATACTATCCCTTACAGTTTACGGGTTTCAGGGTATACTCTTCCGTGGGGTCTACTGTTCCTTAGGGTTCAAGGTTTTCAGAGGCATACTATTCCCTAGACGGCTTTAGGTTTTTAGGGTATACCATTCCTGATATAGGACTCCTTATTATTTTGGATGATACTATATTGCACCCAAAAACTGAGGCCCTGATCCTAGCTACTTCCGACATCCCGTAAACCCTAAAACCTTCTTCCGGTGTAGGGTTCAGGGTTTAAGGTTTAGAGTGCTTGCTGATATAAACGCAGTATCAGGGATCCTCAAACTTAAGCATGTTGCGGACAGCGTTGCGGAGTGGACAGCGTTGCAAGTAGGTTTGAGGCTCTCCCCTTGCCCAAAACTGAAATCTAAACCTTAACACTTTATGCTTATGGGTTCGGCGCAGCCGTTCAGGCTGCTTGTCCTTGCCGGGATTGTTGTAGGCATAGTCCATGCACTTCGCATCGCCCCACTTTCGGTTCTTCAGCCTCATGTGCTCGTTTCTACGGGTATAATCGGGCTCTGGTGCATAAGTGGATATGAACTTATAGTTCTGGTTTAGAGGTTCGAGCATAGGTTGAAGGGTGCTTTGTTACAGCTTGGTGTAGTGCATACCTCATATCCGGTAAGCAACACTGATGATGTGACACAAGGTACGTGTTCTAGCATCTGTAAAAAAACACATTAGGGGTGCGACAAACTGTCGTCCAAGATGGGGGGAGCGGAAGATAGCCATTGGTGGAGACGAGCCTTTGCAAGCCGGAAGCGGTGTGCGTAGAGCCGACATGCTCGCTGTAGTCTGTCGGTTCAGGTCAGGTGGCTGGCCTACTCTGCCCGGGAGGGAAGAAGGGCTCCTGCTGCTTATTAACTTCCTGCACTGTTCTGACACTGCGCAGCCGGGGGCCGAAGCTTAAACGTTTGAAAACAACGGCAAGGCACGGACCCAAACTCTGAAGCCTGACGTCCCCGCAACCGACTTTCCGGCCGAGGTGGCCGGCCGTGGTCGAAATACCATTTCTGGTTGTCCCCATCATGGCAGGGGTGCATGTACAGCGATCCGGAGTCAGGCTCCTTGGAAAGCTCTTGGTGGCATTGACGCTTTGAACTCTTGTTGAACACTGGTGCCATGGCAAGTGATACCACTGCTGGTACCGTTTCTGCTCCTCCTCGTAGAGGACAACTTTTCCAGTAAGTGTAAAGTGCGCTCACTCATCTACTACTACTACTACTACTACTACTACTACTACTACTACTACTACTACAACTACTACTATTACTACTACTACCACTACCACTACCACTACCACTACTACTACTACGACGACGACGACTACTACTACTACCACTAACTAGCAGCGTCCCCAAACTGCCCTGAGAACTTGAAACCGAAGCCACCAAACACTCAGCCCTGAAATTGCCCAGCCTTACTATCCAAGGTTGAAACCATGGGCTTCTAGTATGGGCCCTGAACATTGGCATCCTGATACAGCTACTGTATACCCTATGTGTACCCTTCAGGGTCCCTAGATTCGCCTAAGGGTCCATACTCGGAGCCCATACTCAACACCTTAGATACTAGATTTGCCAACTGCGATCCCCAGATCAAGAAAGAAGACAAGCGTGCAAGGAGCCCGGCCTAGCAACTAGCAGCCCCAATGATCTGCAGCGGAAGTTATCAAAAATACTAAGAGTAATAGCAATGTTAACAGTGATGAACCATAACTATGCGAATGAATCGCAACAACATAACAACACTAAGAAGAACAACACTAGTAACAACCGATCCAGGCGAGTTTCATCTAGGCACAGACCATCCATGCCGTCCTTCAGATGCTCACCATCGAAGTAGAACAACTGGTTGCTCCTCTGGGAAGGTGCCTAAGCCCTGAACCCTGAATCCTAAACCTTAAACCCTAAACCCTGAACACTGAACTCTGATCAGGCCAGCACCCATTGTGTCGGGAAGGCTGGTTTTGGGCTCAGGCTTCCGGGTGTAGGTGCTCTTCAACTCCCTTGTCTGTCCACACCCAAGTAGTGCACAACAGACCTGGGTGCTCCTCTCAGAGGTCAGCTCTGCAAAAGCCCCTAAGCTCCTAAGCCCTAAACCCTAAACCCTAAGCCCTAAGCCCTAAACCCTAAACCCTAAACCCTAAACCGCAAAAAACAGGATAGGCTGATGGCTGTGTTCACTGTAAAGGCACCTGCGCAGTGAACCTTTGAGACTCTCAAGGTTTGGAATGGGAGTTTCAGAAATCAGGGGTACCTTATTTTGGGGTCCTTATAATAGGGATCCTATTATTTAGGGTACCTTATTTTGGGGTCCTTACAACAGGGATCCCACCACACTACATTAGGGTCCCCTATTTTCGCAAACCCTCGAATCAGAGTTCACTTTGGTTTGACAGTCCCCGGCCCTTCGCGGATAGCTGCAACCACCTTCTAACGGACGTGGCACTGGGAAAGCAAAACTTCCAAGAGGCGAAGCACTGCCTCTGGAAAAAGCACCTCACCATGGTCATCTGACATGCCCCGTTTCAGCATGTTGCTCTCACTCCCACTAACTGCCACACCTCAGAGGTGTGGCAAGTAATGGGAATGAGAGCAACATGTTCATGCCTTCACTTTCCTTGGAATCATGTGCTCGAGAACATAGAGCACCCGAGTATTGGCGACTAGAGGTGTCCCCTCTCTCGCTATCGGCTACATGGAGAAGCTCTGCGATGCTCCAGCAAAACCTTGCGGTTTCCTTGTCTCAACAAATGCCCCCCTTGACTGAAGCATGAAGGCGACAAGCTCTTCGACAACGTGCTGGCTCTTGTAAATGACAAGATGCCGGATGAAGATGCCCGGCTTCAAGAGTTTACCGGATAAAGGGCTTAAGCTGCCAGGATGAAACACAAAGGCGCAGACTTAAACATCAGGCTCACATGACAGGTTGGGAATAGCTGAGCATCTGACATGTGGTGTCCGGCTCGCGTGTGGCAGCGCTTGACTAGTGACGAGCTATGCAAGTTCCTACGGAGTAGCTGTGCCGCTCTGCGTGGGCTCTGGCACCAAAACTGCACCATACCGCAGCAATTGATCACCGTCATCACCATCCGTCGTCATCGGCATCATGATAGTTGTCACGATGGGGTAACAGAGACAACAACGTGTTCTGCTTCCATGCGACCACTAACTCACCATCGTCGCATCGAGCAACCTTGGTAATGCAACCACCAGACGAAACGTGAAGATGGCAAACCGTTTGTGCTGCCTCGCACGCATGACAACCCATCTGCCCAACGACATAAATCTGAAGTTGCCACAGCGCGGCCCACCTTCCCCTGCAAAGCTGAGGAAAAGATGAAGCTGATTCAAGACCCGACCCCAAAGGGCAGCAAACCTTCTCAAAACCCCTAAGACCCCTAAATAGCCGACATCCCACAGTTTCAGCAACCCCGGAGCTCCCGTCGTGACAGGGGTGCATCTTTACGTTGTTGCCGCTGGTGTACTCGCGATCAAGGCAATTGTCTCGGAGGTGCGGTGACAAAGTGCAGGGTTGAGGGTGTTTGGGGCTCCGAAATGCAAGCGCGCACCCCGAGTAGTGAATCACCATCATGAATACAACTTTGCAAAAAGGCCCGAAGAACTGGTTCTCTAGATGCCTTCGCTGAAACCCTACACCCTCAACCCTAAATCGCTGAAAACTAAAGCTGACATTTACAGGACCACAGTCCTTCAGACTGAAGTTTGGGTCTACGAGCCCTGGGCCCTCCGCGCTCCGAAATTCTGAACCCGAGACCCTAAACCCCTAACCCAGAAAGCCTAAAGGTCTAAGGTTTATGGTTTAGGGGTTTAGGGGCTAAAACCTAAGCCGCTACGTCCCCAACCCTGAAGCCAAACCTAAACCCTAAACCTCTAAACCCTGAACAACAAGTAGACCCTCCAAAAAGAACAGAGAAGCCTCAGAGCCTGAACACAAGAGAGCCTATGCATATGGGCAGTTCTCCCAATAGAGTACGGCACCCTTATAAAACGGACCCTAAAAGGTACCCTAATTTACAAAACTACCCATATAGCCATCTGAGTAGTGAGAGAAGACCATGTTAATTATTTATGGTTGTATTTATATTTATGCTTGTAGTACACTGACACCCATATTTAGATCTATAGCTATGAATTTACGTTGATATTCATATGTGTACTCAAAATCTATAGCTATACTCACATTATATATATATATATACACACATTTATACGTACGTGTATATGTATATTCATGCTCATCTCTTGGTTTGTTTGTGTAGTCATTTGAGTATGCTGTTTGTTTGTATTCGTTCATTCATCTACGTATAGATTTCTCTATCTATCTATCGATCTCTCAACCTATCTACCTATCTATCTGTTTGTTTGGCTTTATCTACCTATTCATTTGTTTGTGCACTTATGCTGGCATATCCCCAAACCCTTTTCTAATTGTGCCTGCGCGCCCCAGGTTGATCCCCGGAGTAACCCTTAATTTAAAACACTTTGCACAACCCTGTATTCAAAAAATAATTACACAAGCAATTCTACCCATAAAAGCTCTACGTAACATCATATAACTTCTGTAAGTCTTAAGGCCTTCAAAGACCTTGATTCTATATTATGCCGTTATAACACCAAAAACTTGCAAACTATTCAACCCGCAAGCCCCGAATAAACCCTCTAAGCGCCCTGCTGGAACTATGAGGACCCACTGCGTCACTCAGAAACCTGTAGCCGCCAACAGCAAAGCAAGATCATCCCCAACCCTAAGCCCCAAACGCTAAACCCAGCCCAGGGGCAATCAAACTGTGACATGATCTTCGCCCTTGGCAGTGGCTTCGGAAGTGGTCCGCCCATATGCCATCTCCTCGGCTCACCAGAAGGGCTAGTCCAGGGTGACCACAGGGGGTCTATCAGGGTACTCTGACGCTTTATGGTTTTGGGGTTTAGCTCTGAGGTTTGGGGATTTCGGCCCAGACAAGGCTCTAGGACTCTAGGCCCTGTTTGGGGGACTTGGAAGCTTCAAAGGCGCTGATACTTCGGACATGGGCACTTCTCTAAATTAGGGTCACGCCATCATAAAGAGGCCCTAAAAGGGACGCTGCTTTAGAGGAACGGGAGGAGGATCAGGGTGGCGATGGCAGTGACAGTGCTGCTGGCGATCCCGCACACGCGGGCCGAGATGCAGGTGGTGCTGGATGCTGCAGAGCAGTCAGAAATTGTCACTAGCATTTCAGATGCACAGGGGCCTGCGTGACATGGCCAGCGCGGATGCGCAGATTGAGATGCATTGGCCTTCACACAAAGGGCACCCACAACCGGAGCCTGCCGTTTGGGCTTCGTGATGGCCGACGTCCGAATCAGCAGTTTTTGGCACGCGTTTGCCTCCGAGGATCGCAGAGAAAGAAGACGGGGATGGAGAACACAAGAAAGGGTTATCACAAGCGTCGTGCGATCGCCGCGCGACACGGCGTATCACATTGGAGTTGTACGACGGGCCTCAGAGGTCACCTCTTCGGTCTCCAGCTCCCACGCCATGCTCACAGGATCCGACCTCAGAATCCGAGTGTGGGACGATACAGTTGCTACAGATCTGAGTCTCAGATCTGGATTTCAGATAATGATAAGCGCCCTGCTCGCCGTGGCAAGAGGGCACGATCCGACACGCCTCTGGGCACCGAAGGTCCTGCTGGGATCGCCTTTTAGATCAGAGCAACGGTCCATTAGAATAGAGAGAAAGGACGGTCACGCGCCTAGCCACGCAGACAACTATACTTATGATCGGTCGAAGCACGCCAAGTCCCTCAGAAAGATTGCAACACCGCCATGATGTGGCACGTCCGCACATACCAGCCAAGAGAGGACTCCGACACCCGCAAACGCCCCACGACAGCCTCTTCCGAATCGCAAAACCTCCCCC